ATTATTTTCCATTTCTATGCTTAAAAAGAGGTAGGAAAGAAAAGTTACAAGTAAACCGGGACAACTGACGATCCCCTTGTCGGAGTAAATAGGTCTCTTTTAAAGTTAAGATCGATGACAATTAGCTTTCCATAAGAAGCATATGGAGCAGCTCTGTTTTTCTCTTTAAATGCACAAGTGCTCAATCAATACAATTTAGAAAAGATCCACCTCGTGAAATTATTCCTCCCCCCTCTCCGACAGTCGCAGTGTACCCACCCATAGCTGGAAGAACTCGGAAAAATAAAGAATACAAAGTCCTACCCACTGCAGCTGGGCATCAAACTCATATTCTTCCAAAAGAAAGGCAAATTTCTAAACTACTAGATATAAACTAGAATTGCTCTTTACTAAATAGCTAACACAAAAAAAACAACCCGACCCAAGATAACTAAAAATTACAATGTAAATGCATCATTGTTCAAATTAATAAATCTTTGGAATGGCAGCAAAGTATGGTGGGTCTGCTCTACAGATTGATATGATCACAAATGCATCTTTTCACACACAATAAAGTAATGTACCTTAAGCATTAATTGCTGAATGCAAATTTCAATAACCATGGATGGAAAAAAAAGCTGTTCAAAGCAGCACAAATCTTTAGGGTTTATACCACATACATGTAATGAACAGGACACAACCCAATAAATGATCAGGACAGAGACTTATCACAATCATAACTTATCATTATACCAGTATTTACATCAACTAACATTGCACATGCCCACAGAATGCATGAACAGAACCTTGCTGTACAAGGTTCAGAATGTGTTTTCAACACAAGAAAATGGCAAAGTTTGTTCATAGCTGTTTCATTAAGTTTCACTCGAACCAGTTGCAACGACCACATATCCAAGCAAATCATCAGTACCAATGACCACTTTGCATCTCTCCCTTGCGTTTTGTTTTCTTTATCCCAATGACACTGCTCAAGAGGACCAACTGCCTAAGATGACTACTTAACTTTTTTCTTTCAACAGTGGATGGTCTTCTTGGACAAGTTTGACTATACTTCAATGGTTCAATAAAAAAATCACTAACCTGCGTTCTATCAGTAAGATACTGCTGCAATATCATGGGTCTTTTTGGTTAAGGACTTAAAAGGTCTCCTTTAGTGCGTTAACTAAATTATTTTATTGAAGAGGAGGGATTTTTGAGTTGACATAAAACTCCAGTAGCAGGGCAAACAGCTTTGAAAACTGTTTCAGGATAACTAGATGCAAAAAACATCAGCACTGCTTATCGATCTCTAGCCGTCCATATCATAGCCCCAAGAACGTGCCAGCTGACTGAACGTGTGCTTACAGCCTCAGGTTACAGCCAGTCTGCTTTTATCCCATCAAATCATTACTTTTATTTTAACTGTAGCTTTTCTAAGTATCACTTTAAAAAATTTTTGCACCAGAACTTCCTTGATTAAGAAAAAAAAAAAGAAAGTAAAAATAGACGCAACACTTCATAACATTGTATTCCTTCTGATACGGAAAAATCTTTAAATAAACTTTCGTTGACTAGTTCATTCCATAGTGCCACTGAAACATAGCAGTTCCCTGGGAGTTCCATGCTGTAACAGCAACAGGCTATTTCTACATTTAGTTTCCTAGAGGTCTTCACTTCCAATAATAATATCTTTTTTTTTTTCCAAATGGTAGTAGAGCTGTAACATAAATAATACTCTACTGACAAAAAACATAATCAAAGTGACATGTATCAGTGTATATATATATAAGTAAAATCATACAGTGAAAAAAATGTGTCCCCACGGAAAAGTAAGCACCATTCATGGCAAACATTACAAGTATGGGAAAGGAAAAGAGGTGGTGAGGGTAAGGAGGGGTGAATATAACAAACCAGAAAGACACAAGGCAGCGTCATTTATTGTATTCATTTATCATATTAAAGTCATATACGACTCCTAAAAGCTGATATGAACAAAACATGAAACCCACAAGTTTTTGATCATGAGTACTTACTTTTAAAATAAAAAAAAACACTGGCACAACATGAATTATATTATCAAAACATAAATACTAAGAAAATCAAAAAAGAGCATTTCAATTAGAACGAATCACTCAGTTTGAAAAGACTCATCAAAAGAGAAAATTTTATCAACTGCACTGGAAATCTCTCTACACATGTGACAATACAGACCAAAAAAACAACATAAATTATGCGACAGGAAACCATCTCATCTCAGTGGATTCCAGCATAAACGTACACACCATTGCAATTTGTTTTGTCCGTGTCATTTGGGTTTTGATATCATTTGCAATATATTGGAACTTCAAATCTCAACAACTACCAAACAAAAGAAGACATTTAAAAAAGGCAAAAGCAGCTTCCAATCAGTCGCCATCAAAGAATTTTAACATTTTAATCTGACACTTTCTACACTAGATGCTGAACTGTCCTTGAGAGTTATTGTAATAAAGCCGTCATAACAACAAACATAATCACAAAGGGATAACTGAGATTATTGTAATAGAGCCTTCATATCTGCAAACACAATCACAAAGGGATAAGTACATAAAGAGTAAACTGAGAGTTCATAAATACTAACCGGGCATAACACACATGGAAAGAATAATGAGAAACATTCGCAAACTTGAAAAATGACAAAGATTGAATCAAGAGGGAATAACATATTGCTGGGAACTCGTCACAAGACAAGTGAGATTTTTACACTATAACTGCAAACTTGGTGCACAGCAAATATTGAAGTGAAAGTTGACGAGGACCAAGGTCCGGAATGTTGAAAAGCTCGAGAAAACGAAAATCATACAATAGTCTGCGAGTTCGGTGGTGGAAGGTCAGCAGAGGGTGACAAGCTTGTGATAACGTATAGAAAGCATTCATCTAAACCTGCTAGAGATGAGGATACATGACAATCATCACATCCCTTGAATTCCTCCCAAATATTCTGATGATACCTCTCTTGGGACAATTGTAATGGTAGGTGCTTTAAACCTCCCTCAAAATAATTGATATTATTTAGGAAGGGAGCTGCTTCCACTTAAACCCCGCCTGATACCATTGTGTAGCGAAAAGAACTGGAACAGTAGAATAATTGGAAACATAAGACAGTCTGCACTATTTTGAGAAACCCAGCGATTATGTTTAGGTCTTCATAAGATTTTCCCCCATCTCTCAATGCCCCCTAGCCTGAGGTGTTGCGTAGAATAAAAATAACATTTGGAAGAACTGACAACACCTTCACAAAGACAATTCAAGTACTGAAAAATTCTCCAAAAGACAAAAGCAAGCATTTACACATTGCATGTTTAAGTACACACTAATTGACACATTAAGTGTATTCTGGTGTGTCGCACAAAAATGATTTTCAATTACGTGAAAGACGTCATTTTGTGGAGTGAAAGAAACGATAAGATACAACTTCCATAAACACAGACGTACAAAAACTTAGTTGAGGATGTAAATTGAATTTTGTGACAAAGGTTTAAAAGTGAATAATTTGACAAGGGTGAAAACGTAACCCAAAACAGGTATTATTCAGCATTGGTATCTTACAAGAATTCACAGCACGAAAACTGGAAAATATGCATGACGATTGGAGAACCATGGATAGACCTATTCTTGTCCACATCAAAATTACACCCATTAGCTCCTATAAAACAATGGATTACGTTGTTTCTATTTCATATAAGCATACGATGATGAGGAAAGAAAATTAATCAATGACAACCTATTTTTTAACTTTCTAAAAAAAAAACACAAGCAAAACATTATAAACCTATTAGAACATTGTATCAATCTTTCAAGCGGACTGGAAGAAGAAAAAAAAATGTAATTCTACAAACATGATTACATTTAAACACTAGTGTGAAAAACTGCGAGAATTCTTTAAAATCTTAACTATGTAAGGAGAAGAATCACAGTAGCAACTATTGAACAAAACAAAACAAAAAAATTGCTCTGTCAAAATTGTCATGAATTAACAGCTACAAAAATGTCCTCCTACCTAGTATTATCAAAACAGGTAAATTAAAAACGGAATGCGGCAAAAAACATACTTAGAAGCTGGCTCTGCCAAGCAAAGGAACTGTAAAATTGAACATGTGCAACTCAAACACCTACACATCTTGCTGAAATCACAAATCTCAATAAACTGCGAGTGCCACACGAAAAAGACAACAAAATTTCTAGGCACATCATCAATCAAAACACTGTTTTAGTTTTTAAGTTTTAGTAGAGGTGTTACGCAACTGCATTAGGTCATATGAGCGCCAGAAGATTAGAGTGATACAAGAGAGTAACAAACATAAAAAAGAAGAAGGGGAGATAAGGACGATACATGTTTGATAGGAAAGAAGAAGCAAACCACACCAGAGCACCTGCTAACCACCCACTCAAACCAATGTGAGAACAAGAACTCATGACCTGGGAAGCACTTGGTCAGCACATTGAACCCTACCCCACCTCCCCTTCTCTTGTGTGTCACTCACAGTTCTCTTGAACATCTGGACAGGAAATTCCCTTCCTGTAACCCTGTTTCTCACTCGTGGCCTACGTCCTTGTGAACAGCTAGAAGGTTTAGGTCATTGTTACGACTTGTACGTAATCCCCTTCATTAACCACGAATGTACACTTCGGCCAACTGCACTTCAGAAAATTAGGGTACATCATTTTTCCCAGTGGATTTAGATGAGGTAGGTCCACACCGAGTTGTCCCATCCGCCTGCATCTCTTTTTTTAATCACGATTTCTTTTCCCTCAAGCTGGCCTGATCATTTTATCACATACAGTGCAGCCTCTCTATAATGACAGCGTTGGGACCAGAAATAAATATCATTATAGAGAGGCAACCAAAAATGGGAAGGAGGGGGAGGGGTAAAGTACACCAAGAATGCAACGGTATGACACGTGGACCGGTGAATGTGATTGGTTCCCTCATTCACAAAGAGTTTTTCAACCTACTCCAAGGGAGCCCATGCTTTCTCTCCTTTTTTTTTTTTTAAAGTTTGTTTATAAACAGAGACATCGTGATGATTTTTGGTGACTAGCGATCAGAGATACTGATAGCGGGTCAATAGCGCTGTCTCTTATACCCGACGACAGGCCCTGAGGGGAGTGAATATCATTGGTCGGCTTGTCATGCGTTTTCACTGGTCGAAAAGCAAGCGTTTTCATTGGACCAGAAATATTGTCTTCACAGTCAATTTCAAGTTGTTAATTATCACCATATCGACGTCGCTATACATGGGTTTTACTCACATTATGTCTTTATAGTGAGTTTAATCGGGACCTAGACCCTGTGTCGCTATATATAAAGTATGTCAGTATAGAGAGGCTGCACTGTATGATAATTCTCACAACAGTTCCTACTTTTGCCACAGGCCAGAGTCAGGGTAAGAGATAACCAAAGCTTAATCACTGGCTCATCAATCCTATATTTGATCACCCTCATAGAACAAGATTTATCAAACTGTATATTTTCATACTTTTGTTTGAGCTCCATATCTAAGAAAAATACAAAGAAAAAAATAAAGAAAAAATCCCACCCAAGATCTCAAACAATGGGAAATTGGGTTTCACCTGCCTGGGCTTGACATGCTCAGATGTAGCTGAGACTACACCGCCATCATTTCAGAAAAGTAAAGAGAGTGTCAAACCACACAACTTTCACAAAATTTGTAAGACCTGTAATCTGTGAGGACAAAGAATCGCATTAGTAAAGCCACTAGATACACAATAGCGACGATTTCTTAGTTACACAGAAAGCAAATTGAATACTAACATACTTCAACAAACTCAAACAGATGGTGACATTCAACAACTAAATTCAAAATCTTCAATTCTCACACTGAGATAAACATTTGTATAAAATAAAGTTAAAAAATGAGATAATTTAAGCACATCAGCAGTTAAAGGTACTCTTAGCCCACACACATAACTAAAAAAAATAAAAATCTGAGCAGACTAAAAACACAAAGCCTGATTCAGATTCCTGAAGCTTGAAATGCCAAAATAACTGACCAAGACTTAAGACTTGAATTTGTTTTTCCCAACATCAGCAAACATTCACAACCAATCTTAAAACATAAATTCAACATGTCAAGTGTATAACTTCAAAGAAAAAATAACATTCAACTCCTGGCTTTGCAATGGTACAGGCAATCCGATGACAATCCTAAACTAACACTAACACTCCAAACAAACTTGATCTCTAAAGCCATTAATTAATTTGATTCTTTTTAACACACGGGAAGCTCATTTTGATAATTATTTCATAGAGCAAAATGTGTTCTGACAGACTAGGGGAACATTCACAGAAGATTTTAATTTTGATATAAGTATACTTGGAATTCTTTCAAATATTGATTAAGTTCTCACCTAAACATAGGTAAAGGATCAAAATGAAACTCACAGCAGAAAAATATTAACTGATGCTATTATTCATTCTTCATTCTTTTAACAGAAACTGTAAAATAAAGTTTAAAACAATACAACACAGTCCGGGCTACTAGCACTTAGGATCAGACTGGGTATCACAAACCCACTTTTTCATTACTTGAAGACAAGAACATCATGACAGAAAATTAATGATTCTGAGTATTTCTTTTGTTGTAATTATCAAAAGAATTTGCAGTTATTAAAATGTATAAATTGACAGAAATTTCACTGTCTCTTCTAAAAACTGTTTCTTCAAATAATCATGAGTATTATTTGTACTGGACAATAATTTCACATACATTGGTATGTCACAACTGCAATCCAAGGGGATTTAATATGAAGAGAAGATTTCACACCATTTATTTATCAATGCTGCTACAAACAGTTGGAATAAAAGTCCCAGAACTTCATTTTTATTCAGCTTGAAATCCAGGCTCAAATCCTCCAACAAAACAACTAAACTACAACATACATAGAAAGAAAATAAAGCCAAACACAAATAAAATCACAACACATCCTGAAACAATAAAACAAACAAAACAGTGGATTCTGATATAGAGATTCTGAGTCTGATGACAAGGCTCTTACGTATTGCCAATACGAACTCTATGCTTTTTCATATAATTCCATAAGCAAACTGTTGAGACCCAGTGACAAGCAGCTATAAGATGTCCTACGCGCTATAAAATATTCGTCACTATTTGATATGTTGACATGACGTTTTCTACAATAAACATAGCATTTTTAAAGAGCTACAATACACAAAAGATACCTGAAAATAATAACTGGTAAACATTGTTCTGGTAGGTTATGTCATACATTGTTCCAAAAAAAAGCAATATACAGTTTGAAATACGGTACTTTCCTTTCTATTTCAACTTAAATCTTTTTGGAATCAGTTCTCAGAATGGTGGATGATGAAAAAAAGACTTGAGCAAATATTTCCAATATAAGTCGAAAATAATTGGAACACAATTATATTAAGGCAATATCCGACAATAGAGTTTGATTATTCATACCAGGCACACACTCCGCTGTGTTTACACAACCCACATACAGTCCACACATATTATAGAACATATGAAAGTTTTTCTTTACCTCAAATCTTCAACATCGTCCACAGCCAAATCAAAGTAAGAACAACCGTAGCAGAGGTGAATTGAAGGCTAGGCTTGTCTTCTTTCCAGTACACATAAATCGTTCTCTAATCAAACCACAAGCATTTATAAAGCCATACATAGGCTGTCCAGTTAAAAAAACCAAAAAAAAAACCCATTATAAAATAATCAGAAACAAAGAAACACACCAAACACAGGCAACAGAGAAGAAATTTTCACTGGATTATCATTATATCTGTGTGTGGGACAAGGAAACAGGAACTGAAGATGCGTATATGATGTTAGGAGCAATATGTTATTACAACAACTGGCCTGTGAGTCTGTGATGCGCGTTCCTGAAACTTCTAGAATTCCAAATGTCTCACCAGACAATCCCAATGAGGTAAACTTAAAAAAACTGACTCTGTGAGCACACTCAATTCTATGACCTCAGAACTCCATGTCAAATATGAAAAGAAAAAAAAAAAGAAAAAGAACAAGTCTGAGCAACACGTCTGACTGTTTTCTATTCAGACAGCAAGGATTGAATCCTGAATCCACTAATGAACCAAATCATTGTATAACTAGTCTCAACATCAAGACACAATCAAATTCAAAGTTGGTAACGCCTGCATCATCATTTTCTATTCAGGCAGTAGCAGCTCCTTCATCGACCAGACTCAGTCCCATCACCATGACCTTTAACATATCATAACAAACAAAATGCATTTTTTTTAAAAACTAAGCCGGAAAAACTCTCCCTTATCATTTTAACAACTTTGTCTTTACTTGGGGCAGCATGGGTTGTCCACCATGAGCACCACATCAATCCCATAATGCTCCACCAGCTCCATGAGGAAGGCGCGGTCACCAATGGGGTCAAGGCCGATGCTCTTCATATGATCAGAGGTCAGCTGACGATCCTGAGACTGGGAGATGTCCAGCAATGTTTGAAACAGCCGTTCGTTCATCTCTGTGAAGAAACTGAGAACACAACAAAAAAATAAAAACAAGTCAGATAAAGAAATACGTCGTGAAAGTGGGCACTCTTATTTCTTTTAAACATAAAAAGTAAAACAGAGAGTCCTTGAACTTCAAAAAAAAAAATGTAACCATGACTGTAATTAGATCTTTTTTAAAACAATAAATGGCAATATCATTCTTATAAAATTGCATCAGTCGAGACTCAGTTCCAAAGTCTCAACTGATACAACATAATGCTCTGCATCATGATAGCACACAGAAAAACTTCACCATTTCTAGCAAATGTTTTGCCCAGTATCTTTGTACAGTGCATCGGAGAGATGAACTGTAATATAAATGTGCTAAAAAAACTTTTGAGTTCTAATGAACAATCAAAATAAAGAGACAGAACCATACATTCTTCTCTTCCCTTTAACATTTTTCGTGAACTCAACACTTTCCGACAGACACAAGTATACTTTCAGGAAGGGTCTGGAAGCTTGCCAGAAGAATCTGTGACAGTTGACAACCGTTCAAGCCAGAACAAAGAAACTTAGTATGCACTTGCAACACATGCCACTTACAAATACCAGTATTTTCTTGGATTGATAATAATAATAATAATAGATTGCATTTATATAGTGCTCTATCCCATACTAGTATAAGCTCAGAGCGCTTTACACCAATCACATAATCATTCACACACACAAAAAATATTTCACAGTAACCACTTCAATCACATGAAGAACTTTCACAAACATACATTAACTATATATATTATATATACACAAAAGGACATCAGTAAAAAAAAAATACCAGCATTTACTAACACACTATAACTAACGATTAAACAACAACAATTAAACAACAGCCTTTGGCGCTCATATGACCTTATGCAGTTGCGAGCGCCTAAAACTCTCTACTATAAAAAAAACCCCAAATAAAACAACAGCCTTCTATGGCTTGGCGTCCAAAAGTAGAAATGAGAAGGTTCAGTCTCAAAATTCTGCTAATTTTTGTTTTCTAAAGTAAAATAACCTTACTTAAAGAAACGAACTTCAGAAAAAGAATCGCCAAATCTTAGTCCCCAATGCCAACTGAACACTAGCAAAGCTGAAATTTTGTGTTGAAAGAAAATAAACAACATGCTGATCCAATAATAACCATGTAGTGACCAGCAATAAAACAGCATATACAAATTACGGAGGGATGAAAAAAAATAGGATATTCATATGCAAGTGTTAAGATGAGAAAAAACTCATGTTTAAATATCATTTGTACTCAGTCTGTTGAGTAATACTTGGCCTTTCGTTTGAAAAAAAAAAAACAACCAATAAAAACTGTAGACCTTTTACCCCCACATTAACACAAGTAATATCATTATGAAGACAGACTGGTTTAACCCTGCCTGTCAGGGTCAAATGGGTTGAGAGGGATAAAATTTCCCTGCAGAGAGACAAACAGACAGACAGAGACAGACAGAGACAGACAGACAGACAGACAGACTCAATAAAAAAAACCTTCCCACTCAGAAAGTTGAATTCACATCCTCTGTGTACATTGGCCATGAACCTAATCACTACACCACAGACACTTGCACCTTTCGTTTAAATAGGTTCTACTCTGAAACAACAATAATTAATATAACCTACCTGGTGATAACCTCCTCTTCATTGGCTTCCTCCCCCAACTCATCGGCAGAGAATTTGTGAGCTGTTCTGAAGAGAAAACAACAGGAACAACCACTGTAGCCCACACCACTAGAAAGGTACCAACAAATATTACTGTAAACATTTGTCCCAGACAACATAATTTAGACAGATTATGAGAATGGCTGCATAAATCCCGACAGTTAAGGTAAACCTGGACTGAGAGAGAAAGAAGATCCCATCAGAAAGATGGAGACACTCTACAGAAAACATTCCCTTGAAGGGAGACAAATGCATCATCTGTGTGCAAGGCAAAGGGCTTGACTGCTGCATGACAGATGATGGTAAGTACTGATATTTTATGTAAGATTCAGTTGAATAACAATTTGCCTCACTTAAATATGACAGAGATGAGCATGCAATCCACTAAAGAGAAATACTCAAAATGCAAGAAGGGATTTTTCTTTTAATCCTGATGGTGCAAATTATCATTTTTGATATACCATGGAGAAAAAATGGTAAATTTCCCCAAACTCAGATAGTGAACATAAACCTTCTCAGCTAAATGAAGGAGTATATAAGGAGCCAAGTAGTCTTTTTCTTTAGAACTACTCTCGTATATTAAAAAACACACAAGAATGGCCCTGCTGCTTCATCAATTCAATGTCCAGCCTAAATCATAAAATCTTGCGAACAAGAAAGTGTGATACAGATAATCCCAGTCACACAAGAAGACACTTTCCCCTTCCCTTGCATGGCAACCCTGGGAAAATGTGACCAAAAACTAATTTTTCTGTGAGCACAGCAGTCAAGCGGGGCTCTCGTGACCAAGAGGTTATGGTGTTGGCCTCTCATTCAAAGGTCTCGGGTTCGAATCCGGGCAGCGACCGAAAAATTTTCTTCTCTAAAATTGTCTCCTTTCACCGCCTTTCCTGTTCTCTAGCAATGTTCTGTCGTCTGCTTTTGTCTACTCTTTCTGCCCCCACCCCCTCACCTCCTTCGGACTCCTGACTCTTTCTGCAGCCTTTCTACTGTTACTCCTTTGCTCCTTCTCACTGCTGTCTTTCAGCCACACCCCTGATCTTCTGGTAGGAAAGATCTACACCAAGCCTTCTCGGACAAAGGCTAAAAATCTCGGAGGGCCCGTGGGCAAGTTGCTTACGTTAAAGATCCCTTGCCGGTCTAAAATCGATAAAAGTAGGCTTCGGCCGCCACCCGAGCAAAATTCAAATTTCCTACCACCTGAAAAAGTTTAATGTGTCTCGCGCGCTCATATGACCTTAACCAGTTGCGAGTGTCGCAAAACACTTACCAAAAAAAAAGCAGTCACGGAACTAACCTCTGGTTATTGAGCTTGGTCAGCTTTTCTCTGTCTGCATCACTGACTTTGAGTAGATCTCGGAGAGCTATTGAGGACGTCCTCACCATCTGGTTGTCAACGTATATATCGTACAGATGTGTCTTTGACTCAAAAATCTTCTCCGTTGTACCTGCTCAGTAAGAAAGTTATGAGTGAGTTGAACAGAACAGAAAAAAATTCAGAAAGTAAAGAATATTTCTTTTTTTTTGTCCTTTTTTTTTACATCGAGCACCCCAAAAGATATGCCCTGTTTCCCCCATTTAAACATTGAGCTCCAAAGACCACTCTTCCACCAAAGAGAAGATAATGTCTATCACCATTCAAATTCTTTTCCTCAGCTTCAATGGGATGGGCAAAGTTTGAGACAGATTGTGTGACAGAAGCCAACAAGTAGACCTGAATGTAAAAGAATAGCCACATCTCTACCCTTGGGATATATTTTACACTGTGCTGCAGAGAGCAGATATATTTTTGAAAGAAGAATATGTACTGTCCGAGGTAGAGAAAGCTGTTGAGGACAAAGTTCATGCTTTTACAAAGCAGATGTTCTTCAAATAAAACGGCTTTCAGGCCAGAACTTTACATGTTATTCACCCCTAGAAACACTCTTTAGGATACCTGTTAGGGGTCTGTCATGAACCAAGTTAAGCAACTCTTGTTTAGTTCACTCAGTTCCCTTAATTCACAGGTTATGCAATCGAAAAAAAAGGAGTTCGAAACGAAACTAAAACAAAATGGCTGTTGTTTATTTTCTGGTTCACGTGCTGTACTCGTAAACTATAGAAAACATCACAGGGTCATGACCTGAAGTCTGAGTACAGCTGTACAAGAAGACAACAAATCTCATACTCACATGCAACAAAGGAGACCTCATTTTCCAGGGCCTCAATGTCAGCCACATTGACGTAGAAGTGGGGCTTCAGCTCGATGCAGTTAAGGTTCATGATAGAATGGTTGGCCAGGCAACAGGCGCAGTACACTGGAACATACACAAAACAGTGAATAAGTACACACTTAGACTTCTCGTTGCTAGGTATGGTTATGTACGGCAAACCTGTCTTGGAAGGAGTTAAAACCAAAATAAGAGAAATCCTGCTTCAAACGTTTTACAAAAGTATACATTCACAAAAATAACATCTTAGTAAATGAGATGGGCACAGAGCACAAAAAAGTGAAAAACAAAATGAAACTCATTCCTCACTTCAATCACACTGCTTACCCCAAAAATCAATATACATGTACGAATCATATTTCTACAACAGGAAACTCAAATAACACCAACACAAAAAAGGGAAGCTCATATTTACATCTAAAACCAAACATTCTGCTCCTCTTCCTTGAGACAAAAACAAACAAAGGGACCAGAAAAATATACGCACTCTTATCTTTATATCTGTAGCACAAAATACAGAGCCCAGCAGAATATGTCAATACAAAATGGGGAGTGAATAATAATCAGTAAGATTTTTTCTCCTCCTTCTTCGATTATTCTTGACTCTCAACCCTATGTCCCGATGTTGGACCAAGAACAGTTGGCATCATAAGGACAGACAATACATATGGTTTGGCACTTAATTTTAAAAAGAACCCAATACCTCTGTAGCACACCACTCCAATAGGAGGAGGGGAGAAGAATATGATCCGCCGTTGTAACAAAGCAAACTTCCACAGAACAAAGATCTGCTCCCCAAAAAACTTGATGAACTGATTGAAACATCCAGCTGGATGGGTTATCTGTGGACATTCAAAATTTTGATAATGAAAAGACAAATCAATGTCCAGACACCTAGATATTCAACTTATTAAAGAAAAAAAAAGTTTAGCAATACTTACTTGAAGGAGAGGATAAGCAAAATTTACGATGAGCGTGTCTCCAAGACCAAGCCGGACAAGGTTATGTTGTGCGTAAAGTGCTATACCATATGTTTAGCCTTCCAAAGAAGGTATGTAACTCTCTCTTTGAACTTTTGGTGTTGAGCCCAAATAAACAGAAAGCAATTAGACAATGAAATCAAAGAAATGGAAAAGAGTGACTTTGAAAAATTGTCAAGTTAAACTTATATCACCTTTCTATGGTTTCATGGTTTCACAACACAAACATGACATCTAGCTGTGGCTTACTTTCATTTCTGGTAGGAGTTCTCTCACAGGAGTGGAGGAGGTGGAAGGTACAGGAGAAGCACGCAAGGTTTCTGATGTCTGGTCATAGGGAAGAATACCCTTCCTGTCGTTGTAGAAAGCCAGCAACTGAGAGTAGTTGCCAGGGGTCTCTAGCTGATGTCTATCCACAGTCAGGAGAGAGGCAACAACAAAAAAATTCATCCATGAAGAAATTTGATTGATAATAGCATATAGTCGCACCTGCTCCAACGGCCACCTGTCTAAGATGATCGTTTTAGTTTAGTTTTAGTTTTAGTAGAAGTTTTACGGCGCTCGCAACAGCATAAGGTCATTCTCCTCCCATTCTTCACTTTGCATTTTATCGATCTATATTATAACAACAATCATCTAAGAGAACCACTTTTCTCCGCAACAGAAGGTGGCCATCTTAAACAAATGTCACTGTAAACAAATTCAGTCAAAGTCGCTAATTCAAAAGCAAAATTGTTTTAATCAAAATAGAATTCATGCAGCTAACAATTAATCTACTTATCATATGAAAAGAACAAGGCTACAGATGAGAACAGAATAAGACGAAACATTATTAATCTAAAGCTATCACATCTTTCCTTTGAAAAATATACATCTCACTAAAAGGTAATTCGTGTTCTTTTTCAGTTCTCTTTGCTCTCAGGACAATTTGAGAGAACCAAACTTGCTTGTAAAACACATAATTATATAGTTCAAAATGCCCTTTCCCCATATACAAGTTCACCACAGTACACATAAACTTAACAAAAAAAGAAAGAAAAACTATCTGGAGTAAGGACCCACCTGACTTGCGTCTCTAAAAACTGCATATGCCTGTATAACGTAGTGTATGACAGAGCCAGAATGCCTACAGACTTCATACGAGCTCCTCTTTCTATTTCGCTCTCAACCTTCATGTTTTCAAAACAAGATAAACCAAAGAGATTCTCTTTGCGAAAGTACCTGAAATAAAGGATGATATATTTATAAAAGCAATCAAAGAAACCAAAAGTTTAAAATAAGTTAACGAAGCTTACTGGACTTGTCGAAAATGAGATTTTGTCTCCATCAAAAAAATGTGACTTGTGTGCTGTGCTGTAATATAAACTGACATTGAAATCCTGTATATTTAGAATGAGCAGTCCTCAAAATTATCATTTCAAATTGATTTCTTGTGTACAACTAGTCAGCATAATAACAATTATGTTTCTATCAGAATGAAAAAAGTAGAAAACAAACAATCTGAGATGATGCAGAAGTACTTAGCAGACAAATCAGTACACATTTTCAAAAACAACGTCCTCAAAGAAACCACCTTGTAACTTTTTCATTTTCAACTTGCTTAAAAAGAGGAAATTTGGGGACATTTGGTTAATATTTAGATGGTGGACCACACCTTCAAAACAAGGAGAGTGGGAAAGTAACACTGCCATACGGCAGGTTTCGGATTGGCTACCAACCAATCCTCTTTCTTCTATTAAAACTCGAATGCCATTGAAGATATCAGAAAAAATTTTTCTTAGTGCCCCAATGTCTCCAGCGTGTACATATCATGTATGATACCCAGGGCTGATGAAAAAAAACTGGTGCTATAAATTAGTATCATGTTCTCGGGGTTGCCTCTGGCTGGGGCAAGTTTTCCACGTTTTTGCACTGCCGGCATGAGGGGTTTGGTATAGCGTCTGCACAGTGCAGTAAGAATTTAGACAAAATCAAGAACTTTTTAAAGCTCATAATATATAAAACTTTCTTGCTGCATTAAAATGAGACGGATTAAATTTGTTAAAGGCCATCAGTCAAACCAAACTTACACGAAATCACTGTCCAGCGTATGGGAACCGCTGGTCATAGCTTTGAACTCCACACCATCCAAGTCTGTATCCTCTGGAACACACCACTCTATGATGTTACCTGATTCACCAGAAAATGGATATAGAAAAAATTTTCAGACGGAAAGAATAAATTCCATAAAGACGGAATCAGGGAGGTTAAAAAAAGGGTAAAAAACACATGCTCAGATCACACATTAAAACTGTTGCAAATCAAATATTTTCCAAGAAAAGTTCCAACCTATTTGTATAGCATCAAATTATGGGAGAAAAACAGGATTGGGCCAAAGCATGGAAATTCCTACAAACAATTACAATGCGTTTAGCATAAAATCTAGTAAATTATTAAGTTATCAAATATTTGAAAATCTAATAATTTGATTGCAGAGAATATAATTTAACGTAAATTTTCATGTAAAACAGACAAAATTGAATAAGAAAAATGCCATGCTATGCCACCTTTTCAAAAACTAATAACTTGTGACAGATACAGGCCTAGAAGTCTATGGCCTACCTCTAGAGTCAAAATTTGTGTAAACGGGGTCGCTATTCAGATCCTAAGGTGCCAATAATCTGGTTATTTGGACCTCGCCCCCCCTCCCCCTTGCCAGCTTCCGTATTTAAAAATTGTTTGGATTTGGACCCCCGTTTCCGGTTTGAAGAGAAATCTGATGAGGACGGACAGTTAACACTTGTACAATCAATTTTTTTAAAACCCACTAAAACCAACTCGATAAAAAGTTTTATCTCTTCACCGCGGGTGAGATGAAACAAATGTAGCCCATATTACTCTTGTCCTGCGTCTATGCCGAGATATGTGATCAGTAACTTCTTGAATGTTACCGGCGGGCCGCCAAGGCCACTCAGCGTGAACTGTTAGTGTGTAAAGCGAGCGGCCCTGGAAACGAGTGTTTTCATCGTAAATTATCATGGGGGTGGATTAAAAATGATGTTAATCAATGATGAAAATAGCAGTCCTGATCTATCTTTTATGACTTTCTATTTATAAAGAGTTATGAACACATGAACAACCCCCTCTCATAAGTTGATATAATTCATTACGAGTAGTTGTGTTCATTCAAACAACCTTTAAGACGCTGTTGTTGTTATGAATGATCTGAGGTTCGAAACGAAATAGGTCAATTTCCAATGTTTTGCTCTCAAATTTTTTTTTTTACCTTTACAATGATAGTCAAAACTATCAAATTTATAAGCTTATTCAATTTTTATCTGGTATGGCCTAATATCATTTTTTTATAATCTAAAAAAAATTAAGCTCATTTGAAAGATTTTGTAAAGTAAAATAGAAGTCTTGTTTCCTGGCTATCCTTTCGAGCTCCTCATGTCTAAGTGGGTCAATTTGTTCTCTAATTTTAGTTTTTTGTTTTTGTGAAGTGTTTTACGGCGCTCGCAACTGCATAAGGTTATATGAGCGCGCGGGACACACCTAATATTTTCAGTTGGTAGGAAATTTTGAATTTTGCCCGGGTGGCGGCCGAAGCCTACTCTTATCGATTTTAGACCACCAAGGGATCTTTAACGTGCGCAACTTGCACACGAGCCCTCCGAGATTTTTCGCCCTTGTCCGAGAAGGCTAGGTGTAGATCTTTCCTACCAGAAGATCAGGGGTGTGGCAGAAAGACAGCAGTAAGGAGGAGCCAAGGAGTAGCAGTAGAAAGGCTGCAGAAAGATTGAGGATCCCAGAGGAGGGGGCAAAGGAGGTGAGGGGGTGGGGGCAGAAAGTGGAAATGGGAGCAGACAACAGAACATTGCTGGAGAGCAGGAAAGAAGGTGAAAGGAGACAATTTTAGAGAAGAAAATTTTTCGGTTGCTACCCGGATTCGAACCCGGGACCTTTTGAATGAGAGGCCAACACCTTAACCTCTAGGCCACGAGAGCCCCCGTTCTCTAATTTCATTGGACAAACATTTAGGGGGGTCCGAATAATGACCAGATTATAGGCACTAAGGGTGCCCGAATAACAACGCAGCCTTGTATGTGTGTAAAACTAGGATAAAAAGTAGGCTAAATTTAAACTTACAAGAAAACTGCTCAATACCTGAGCATGACACCAGAGTGCAGGTAAAATAAGGCTTCCAATTAAGCCTCAAAAAAGTACCAAAACTTCCACAACAACTTTCTCTCAAAATAGCCTGAACTAATTTGGGGTAAAATAATAAGGCTGGCTCTATTTCTCAGAACCCTCTGGAAAAGAAACTTGAACTGTATTTCTCTAAACAGTTTGCGTTCTCAAGATTTTTTGTTATTTGCGAACGAAATGGCTAGCCGTACTTCTAGACTGCCAGTCTAGCCGTACTTAGATCTGGGTTTGGCCCAACTGTAATGTACACAAGTCTCATTAGATCTAGATTTAGTAATTATTCAGGTTCAATTACATGCAAGTCAGTAAGGCACCTTTTGATTTTGTCTGAAATACAAATACTTTAGGCAATGCCTACTAAAAATTTCATTTACAATTCAACCATCAATATTAAGTACAGCTAGCCTGACAGTCTAGCCGTCCTTAAGTACGGCTAGCCTGGCTGTCTACCCGTACTTAAGTACGGCTAGACTGCCAGTCTAGCCGTACTTATCTTAGGCCCTATTAACATAAAAAAACAGGAGGTTTAAAATACATGCCCTGTCATTAAGGTACCTGGTTTCGTCTCAAATACAAATACTTTAGGTACTGCACACTAAAAATGTATGTTTACAATTCAGTAGGCCTTTTTTTTGTAAATGGTCAGTCTAGCCATCATATTAAGAATAAGTACGGTTAGACTGTGAGTCTAGCCGTCATTAAGTACGGCTAGCCTCTTCCATTTGCGAATGGAGTGGCCCGCTTGCGTGTGTGTGTGTGTGTGTGTGTGTGTGTGTGTGTGTGTGTGTGTGTGTGTGTGTGAGTGTGTGTGTGAGGGTGAGAGGTGTGAACGGGGCGGAGGGGGGGGGGGTAATAGTTTTTCAGTTCAGGGGTGACTAAATGCAAAATAGGTACTGCAAAAGTCAAACAGTCTTGTTTTCTCGCAGTACCTTTTGAAGGCATTTTCAAATGAAGTATAGTTCGGGAGACGTTGCCCCAACCACAAGTGAGGTATCTGAAATAATATGCAGACACTATCTAAAAATCTCTTGATCCAGATCTAGATCTAGAATCTAGATCTATTCAAGGCCTAGATTTCTAGATCTAGATCTAGCTCTAATCTAGATCTAGATCTGGATGTCTAGATCTGGTCACTCTACACTCAAGAAATTGAATTGCAAAAAAAAAAGCTTCTTCCCAGCTCAGCCCTTGTTGCAAAACGGCCACCTCTATTCTCACCCCGGGTGAGAATAGTGCAGGCGAGTCTTTTGGCTATTCTCACCCGGTGCGCGTTCGCCGTTATAGCCTAGATCTAGATCTAGAGTTCACCCTAAAACACAGAATTCTACACTGTGATAACAGAAAAATTGTAGAATTTGTAAACAAACCAGATCTTGTGTCAAACGCAACGACAAATATGGCGACAATTGAGTCCTTTTCTGCAATTGAGAGACCACTGGTACTCGCAGTAATCGTCAATTTGTCAATTTCTGGATGTGGTCCCAATGAATGTGGGACAAGATTCCGTGAGGAGTACTGGGGCACATCGTCAACATCATCATTGAGAAGTGGAACTTTCTCATCTGTAGCCATTTTGTATTGTGGAGATTATGAGAGTAGTGTCCCTTGCTGAAGCAGCTGAAGTAAAAAAATCCGCTCGCATTATTAATGAGAAAATTATGGGTGGTTTGATGAAATAACGGGTTTACCTCAAGAAGGTTACAGTTTTAAGCTCCTTGGTTTGCCTTTATTAGATCTACTATACTCTTTAACATTTTTAATTTCACACATTTTTAAGAGCGTGTAACTCAAAAACTACACATCCAATTACTTTGAAACTTTTACACGTGTCCCGCAAGCTTATTGTCGTTCGTGAACTGTACCAGAGACACTAATGACTGTACTCACGAAAGTGCACCGGTCTATCCTTTTGTCTGACGATGTCATTCACGGGGTTTTGATATTTTGTCAAATATACAGTGAAAATGTGTGGGTAACCTTGAAAACAAAAACTACCCACGCAAAGTTGGACTCTTTCCAAACCTTTGCCACGTAAAAAAAAAGTGGTTTCTCTTTATCGATTCACCATACTTAGGCTGAATGAATCAGAAAGAAATCAAATTATTGAAATGCTTCAGGTGGGCAGTCCGCTTACGTCAGTCGCGAGAAGGTTCAACGTGAGTAGACACACTTTGTATGCCCCACGGGATCACGTGACAACGATAGGCTCCCAAAACGACAGGTCCAAGCGAATAGGGCACAAAAAGACAAAACGGAAGGTGGAAGCGTCTATCCTGAGGGAACGCTTGAGAAATCAATTTTAACCGGCAAACAAAGACTCAGGGTGAGTCGAACAGACTTAATAATGACTGCCCGAGCTTTGTCATGACTGTTCTTCTGTGTCTGAGAAAGAGGGGAACCTTCGTGCCAGCGACCCAGGGTGTTGCATCAAACTGCAGCCCATCACGTCCAGCACAGACTTCACTGGGCACTGCGTCGCGTGTGATGACCATCGTCATATTTGGAGTACATACGTGTTTTCAGAAGAGTCCCAACTTCAACTGGAACGGCACGATGTCAACCAAAGTTTACATACCAGCTTGCTTCAGATAAAGCAAATAATTTCGGTTGAGGTTGTGTCATGTTGTGGGCTGGAATCAGTGCGAGACCACGCTTGTATCAGTTCTTGTAGGTCGTTTTGGTCGATATATTTACTATAAGCTTACATTGTACTTAACTTTATCCTTACTAATACTATGGGACCGGTGATTGTCTCCGGGTGAAACAATCGCCCGTCAATCTGAGAGTCGAGTGACTTTGGGTAGGGTCATGTCATTGCCTCGGATGGTGTCATCATCATCCGGTGCAGTGCCTTGCCGACTGGCGTGGGCGATCATGGACCTCCACTTCACTCTGTCTTGCGTTGCAGCAATGGTGTCTGTTTTTTCTTGCTGCTCCTAGCCATGTTGTCATCTTGTCCAGTATCTTTTCCCTCTGCCTCTCTTTCCATCAAACTTGCCTGCTATTACAATATTCTCCAAAGCTTCTTTCCGCATTATGTGTCTGAAAAAAAAAATTGCCTGTCGCTTTCTTATATTCGTCATAAGCTGTCTTCTACAATTTGCTTCAACCAAGACTTCTTCATTTATTGTTTTTCTAGCAGTCCATGGGATACGAAGCATTCGTCTTATGAACCACAACTCTGTCGCCACAGTTGTACTTTCCAGCTGTTTATTGACTGTCCATGCTTCGCACCCGTATAATAGGATCGGCTCGATGCACAGAATTCTACACTTAGAATAAAGTGTAGAATTCTGTGGCTCGATGTAACTTTTCAGTACTCTTTTTCTTGTTTCCAGTGATAGATTGATGTTTGAGAGTATCTGTTTTATTTTGTGGAAGGTTGCTTAATATTTTGCTTGGCAAATGCAGCTTTTAATTTCGGTGTGACATCTCCCATCTGATCATTCACAGTCATCTCAACACCAAAATAATTAATACTATACCTAGCGCTGCTGTCGGTGAGTAACTATGGGGATTTAAAATCAAATGACATTTTTGTCAAATGACCTTTCATATTTTAGTGCTTTTTATTTG